ACGTAGCCACAAAAGTACTGGGAAGAAAGATTCGAACGCATCCCAAAGGCGGAATGTGAAGTGCTCCATAGTACGGATCGATTCGACAGGCAGCTAATTGCGCTCCTACAATTAGTTTCTTGCTTGGCAATTGGGATCATAGTGAGCTGATTTCGAATGTTCATCATGCGCGAATTAGCCATGAGGATGATGTTATAGATTGGGTTCATTTCGACCATAAGCGCTGCGACTATTCACCACTGGATGTGCGGAAGAAGCTAGAGACTGTGTATCTAGTCTGAGTGGTGAATGGCGCAGTCGTGGTTGCAGTGGTACATAATTCCTTTTTTTCTTTTTATTGTCGAATTTAGGACACTATGACGTCGAAGTTGGATCAGCTAAAGGAGGAAACAGAGATGAGGATCAATGACTTAACCGTAAGTTGTGATCACGAATATGTCTTTCCAAATGAATTTTTCAAGGCGCGGAATTCTGCATCACAGAAGGAGATGGAGAACTTGAAAAGAGTACTTTACGCCAAGTTTGGGGATCGTATAAACTTAGAGTCTGAAAAAGATTCGTAGCCGACTGTTTTGTTTGCTATATATGTATCAATTGATACCATGTACGTAATAAATGGTTATTGTGCTGCGGCTTGATTCGTTATCTGGTTTTTCCTTATCTACAAGCGATTTGTCACCTCATCAAACGAATGATGGTGCCATGAATTGTTCTGTTGCTGTAATGCCTTTGCTGTTTCTTTTATCTGCTCGAGATGACATGCTTTGAAGTTCTCGCCGTCTATCACCTCTGATGTGATGTCAGTAGATCTTTTGTATTTTATGAAGATTTTCTCCATAGACATCAATCAAAAGCACCGTCTCTGACTTCCGGTGATTGTTTGAGCCACGTTTATGCAACATCTAACCAATTATCATAAGGAGCTCCAAGTTTTTTCGAATTGCGAGGGCATTTTTTCATTCTCTTGGGCTCTTTGCCAACATCTGACGAAAAATCGTTCAAAAGAGAATGTCACTGATTCACACTCAAAGGGCAAAGCTTGCATTTGCACAGCGAAAAGATTATTTCGTAAAGTGTCGGTTTTCTAGCGAGTATTGGGAAATCTAATTAGTTGTCCATTTTGTTGGTGCGGCGTTCTGATGACTAATATGCATCTCATAAGTTACAACCGCTATTCATTGATAGTAGGAAAA